CCCGCCGTTTGATATGTCAATGCCTTTATTATTGAATTGAAAGGCCTTTCACTATGCAATAAAAGTATAAACGGAAGAATAACGTCAAGGTTCAAAAGTGAAATAAATTGCAGGCCACGTGTTTCCCCTGCGTAATACGGTATTCGTATGACCTGACTGACAACAACAAACAATGGAGTGATATTTCCTATTCCATGCGTGAGTGAGTGAGTGAGTCATTGGGCGGGTGAGTCAATGCGTGAGTAGGGTTTAGTTGTAGTAGAGGTAGTTTAAGCATTGGTATCGTTATGGTATTAGTAGTAGTAGTAGTAGTTGAAGTAGTAGTAGAAATAGAAGTAGTAGTGGTATTTGTAGTAGTAGTAGTTGAAGTAGTAGTAGAAATAGAAGTAGTAGTAGTAGTAGTAGTTGAAGTAGTAGTAGAAATAGAAGTAGTAGTGGTAGTAGTAGTAGTTGAAGTAGTAGTAGAAATAGAAGTAGTAGTGGTAGTAGTAGTAGTTGAAGTAGTAGTAGAAATAGAAGTAGTAGTGGTAGTAGTAGTAGTAGTAGTAGTAGTAGTTGAAGTAGTAGTAGACATAGAAGTAGTAGTGGTAGTAGTAGTAGTTGAAGTAGTAGTAGAAATAGAAGTAGTAGTGGTAGTAGTAGTAGTAGTAGTTGAAGTAGTAGTAGGCATAGAAGTAGTAGTGGTAGTAGTAGTTGAAGTAGTAGTAGAAATAGAAGTAGTAGTGGTAGTAGTAGTAGTAGTAGTAGTTGAAGTAGTAGTAGAAATAGAAGTAGTAGTGGTAGTAGTAGTAGTAGTAGTAGTAGAAGTAGTTGAAGTAGTAGTAGAAATAGAAGTAGTAGTGGTAGTAGTAGAAGTAGTAGTGGTAGTAGTAGAAGTAGTTGAAGTAGTAGTAGAAATAGAAGTAGTAGTGGTAGTAGTAGTAGTAGTTGAAGTAGTAGTAGAAATAGAAGTAGTAGTGGTAGTAGTAGTAGTAGTTGAAGTAGTAGTAGAAATAGAAGTAGGAGTGGTAGTAGTAGTAGTAGTTGAAGTAGTAGTAGAAATAGAAGTAGTAGTGGTAGTTGTAGTAGTAGTAGTAGTAGTTGAAGTAGTAGTAGAAATAGAAGTAGTAGTAGTAGTAGTAGTAGTAGTGGAAGAATGTGCCAGCTATATAACGGCGATCTCTCAATAATCGAGACCAGACAATCCAGTGATTGACATCATGAATATCGATCAACACAGATAGGATACCATGACATGGATCAACCAAGTCAGCGAGCCGGACTACCTGATCCCGTTAGTGCCTCTTACGACAAGCTAATGTTGCTGAAGGACAATTCTAACCCGGATCTTCACGGGTGTAGCGGTAGTGGTAGTGCTGAGTTCAAACTTTCCCATTGTCATAATCATATGAATTCATTGTTTTAATCTGATAACTTGTATGCGATACTTTGAAAACAATCCTGTGTTTGACAGCACCATATCCGTGCTCGTGGGTTTCACCAACTGGTAAATATAGATGCGTGGTCACCAACTGCGGGTGCGGAGAGTACTTGGATGGGTGACCTCGCTTTGGTAGCTTGGCACTTGAGAGTTTCTAGGGCTTCGGTCCTGCCCTTCACTGAAGCACATGTACCACATGTTGTGTCTCCTTGGGCAAATGACTTTGTTCGAATGTGCACCCGGTAGGATGAGATGAAATGTGGTTGTTAACCTAGCGCCTAACAGCTTGGGTTGTATACTCCCCAGGGTGAGTGAGTGAGTTGGGTTTAACGCCGCTTTTATATACTCCCCAGGGAGCTCAGAATGATTGGCTGATCAAGTGACCGGGGTAAAAATAGCGCTTTGAGCATACCCCAGTGTGGTGTATAAATATGCGCAGTATAAATGGCTTATTATCAATATTAGTATAGATTCATAATTATGTATATATTGCTTCCACGTGTGATCTTCGTGGTTCAGAAACCGAAAGGAGGAATGCGGGACCTGCATATCAAATGATATCGGGAAACCAAATGTTTTCAAAGACATAGTAACATTATATTTAAAATGACACAAAGTTCCCAATGCATATTTCATGACCATTGAGAAAATTGTATTTCTCGGTGAAAGCACTGAAGGAAAAGGTCGGTTAATGTCGTTACTTGTGTTAATTTAAAAGTACAGCTACATTGATATTGGAATAGTTAGCTAACACCTGTACAACATTTGTCCTTCAAACATTAACTGATATTTATTCATGCACCTGTCCAACTTTCCTGTTTTCCTGTTACGACCACCTAACCAGGTTTATGCAGGGGGCTGCCATAACAAGGACACAGAACACATGGCAAAATCCAGAGGAATGCAGACACTTCTTACCCTAAACACTTTTATTGGTAGCATGTATTACCGTCTCTAAACACGTCAATGAAACATTGCTAATATCATATTGCCACATGCAGAGGAAGAATTGACGATTATTGTTATACGCTTTCAATACAGGTGAGGTGAAATGGGGTTTAACGTCGCGTCCAAGATTATTGCACTTATATAGCGACGTGCATGCACGTGTATGTGTGTGTGTGGCTGCTTGTACTAGTCCGGACTGATGCCGATTTGAAGTGCTAGCACACTGAGATACCATGCCGCAGTTTAACATGAATACCAACTCAGACACAGTATACTGACTCCGAGCCGACCAGTCCTTGTTTTAGCCGCTTAATGCCGAGCGCTAGACAGGGTAACAACAAGAACCATCTTTTAACGTCTTTTGGTATGACGCGGCCGGGGATCGATCTCCGGGCGGTGCGTGAAATAAAATACACCACACATATCATGACACGGCTGAGGGACGTGAACTAGACGATCTGGGATAGAATTGGTCTTTAGCAATTAATGCTTATCGTGAGAGGGATCGAGTGGTCAGGTTCGCTGACTTGGTTGATGCATGTCATCATATCCCCATGGGTTAGATCGATGATCATGATGCCAATCAATGGATTGTCTGATCCAGACACAATTATTTACAGACCGCCGTCATACAGTTGCAATATTGCGGCGTTAAACAACTAACAACCAGACAGAACAATGCGCAGCCTTAGCCAACTCGCGCCGCTCCCCCTAGTCCTGCACCATGACCGTGGAATATATTTATTTTATGAAAAAATAATAATCTAGAAATGCATACAAAAGCAAGTAATATAAGATTTCAGAGACTAAATAATAGTCTACGCTCCCATTGGCGATACTCAAACTCACATCCCACTCACAGTCGGAGTAACCTTGTTAAAGGGGAAGTGTACACGCAAAATCACTTTCTTTCTTTTTCTAAACAAAACGCAATTTTAGAATGAATTAGTATCTGTGTTTGAAAATATACACTCATTTTTTTCACAGTGAAAGTAGGAAGCTCACAAAAGTGTGAAAATGATATGCCGTCATGAGGCCTTCTTTTTTCGAGCTAAACTGGCCTGAGTTATCCCCCTTAGATTATGACGTAATTGGTGCCAATTCAACTGGGTCCCTGTCTATTCTCAACGCAAAAGATATCAAGTAACAGTTTGCGGTAAAACAACATGGCCTACGACACACTCCGGCGCAGTGGTGACTCAGCATAACACTATGCTGGCTGGCATCTGAGACGCTAGAATCACACACCTAGACCTACACCACGTGAAGCGGCTCTAACAAAGCATAATGACGTCATAATGTTTATCAATTGGCACCAATGACGTCATATTGCAAGGGGCATAAGCCATGGTGTTTTTGTTGTGGAAATAGAACACTTGGTAAATGTGAAAAATATAAATCGTTTTAATGGGAAAAATATGTTAATTAATTGTGATATTTTTATATTTTTGTCTATGACACTTCTAGGTTAACACTTTTAGTGTGGAATAAGTACAAGAAAAATAGGTGCATTTCCGTGTGAACTTGCCCTTTAAGGTTTATAATAGAATGCCGACATAATACTTCACAAGCGATATTTGTCAGTCAGACCACACTGAGAACTGAACTGCCAGGCGGAAGGTAAAGTGGTGAATGTAGACATGAATATTCATGAGTCACACCAACCATGAATAATGCTGTTGAATAAAATTTCCATAATCATAAGAAAAGCACCTGCTTCGTTTCATAGAGTCTAAGCGTGATCAGATTCACTAAACCAAATGACTAACCAGATCAAATATTTATTCTATTGTATTTCAGTGTTGACGAGAGCCTGGCAGTCCAGGGGCAAAGATGACACAACCGTGAATATGTTTTTTGAGGTAATGCTTAATGGTGATGACCGACCGTCGAATAACTGAGCGTCATTGTGCTAGTTCAGTAGGACTTCCCAGGGGAGAATATACATTTATGTTTGTTTGTCGTTAACGCCGCACGACGGCGGTCTTTAAATATTCGAGTCTTGACCAGACAATCCAGTGATTGACATCATGAGCATCGATCCACCCAACTGAGAATCGATGACATGCATCAACCTGACCTAACCACCCGAATCCCATTAGTCGCCTCTTACGACAAGCAGAGTCGCCTTTCACGGAACGCATTGTTTGCTGAAGATCTATTTTACCCCGGTAAATATTAAAGAGTCCATCTGTATGTAGTTGTAGGTATTTAATTCAGTTAAATATTAAAGGGTGACTACGCCCCTCTGCCTGCTTCACGTTGTGGGTAGTTCTGGGTAATTCATTAGGGTAAATATTAAAGTCCATCTGCCTTCTACATTTGTATGTAGATGTGGGTATTTAATTCGGGTAAATATCAAAAGGTGACTATGCCACTCTACCTGCTTCACGTTGTGGGTAGTTCTTGGTAATTAATTAGGGTAAATATTAAAGAGCCCATCTGCCTTCTGCATTTGTATGTAGATGTAGGTATTTAATTCGGGTAAATATTAAAGGGTGACTACGCCCCTCTGCCTGCTTCACGTTGTGGGTAGTTCTGGGTAATTAATTAGGGTAAATATTAAAGAGCCCATCTGCCTTCTGCATTTGTATGTAGATGTAGGTATTTAATTCGGGTAAATATTAAAGGG